ATGAAAATGAAACCGCCAACGTTCTATGGTGGAATTGAACCTTTGAAAGCTGAGACGTGGTTGCTTGAAATGGAGAAACTGTATGAGGTGTTTCCTTGTTTTGAAACCCAGAAGGTCCTTGTAGCCACCTACACTCCGAAAGATGAAGCCCACAGGTGGTGGTTACTAATCCGAAGTGGCAACGGGAATATGACGTGGGCACAGTTTAATGCTTTCTATGATAAATAGTTTCCCCAATGTTTCAGGGATCGGAAAAGTGTCTGAATTTCAGGAACTCAAACAGGGAAGGATGTCTGTGGCAGAATATGAAGCTAAATTCGCTGAACTGGCACAGTGCTCCACATATGGTGGATATCGAGCGTGAATCCTGAGTACATGCATTTTATCAAAAGTTCACTCCATAAGGGTGGGTCAAATGTGGCCCTGCCTTTCAATTGCGTTGTCTAAATCTTAGTGCTGAAAAAATGGACCATCAAATACCTTAAAAATGGTTAAATAAGCTGCATGGGATATAACACAGAACTATATTTTTTTTTATTTTCTCACTTGTTATACAGATTTAAACTTTATATAATTTGAATCATACTCAATAAATTTAATCCGTATATTTTAAATTTTAATTTTTTTTCCTTTCTGAATATAACATTGATGGGATCCAATGTGGTTGATGGGGGAGGATATTTCTTGAACAAGAAATGATTTTGGGATGCATATAGGATCCACGTATGGTTTCACCAACAAGAGCTACCAGGTGCACAAACCCTTTGGTGGTTTTGCACTCAATACCACCGAAGATATTGGCATAGTTGGAGAGCCATATGAAAAAGCAATATTTATCATAGCTAATAGTGAAACCCATATGCATTTGAGCTTATTTGGGTAATAAAAACACTAAAACGGTGATGTGATTCTCTATAATCTTTACACTTGGTCAGTCTCTGTTAGTAGTTTAGTACACATGCCAATGTCATGCCACTCAATTAAAGAATGAATATCGTTAGGTAGTATTTGAATTTTGAATTTTAATAAAAATTTGTAGAAGATATTAAAAAGAGAATAAAAAGTATTAAAAATTTAGTAATTTAGTATCTTGTGTCACATGAGTCAAGTAAACCAAAAATAACAATGCTATGATTCCAAGAAAAAAAATAATAAAAAAACTCTCCTAAATTTCATATCAATAGTCAAGATTCATTTAGAATGTGGCCCCACAACAGTAACTTTCAATATACACTATTGATTTGAAATTCATGACAATTTTCTGGTGCTATAGACTTTTTGAACCAAAAATACCCTATTTGCATTTTCGATTTGAAGAAAAAAAATGGAGATAGAAAGGAAAAAAGAACGGAAAAGTAACAAATATTTAACAAATTTTGGTACCTCATGCCATGTGAGTCAATGAAACAAAAATACCTTTAAATTGTATTTGAATCTTGAATTTGTGGACAAAAAGGAAAAACAAGGGAAAAATGACAAAAATTTAATAGTTTAGTACACCATGTCATGCGAGTCAATTAAACAATAAGTATTGATAGGTTATGCTTGAATCTTGAATTCGAATGCGAATTGTGAATAGAAATGAAAATAGACCAAATTAGACAATTTTTAATTCATGCCATTTTTTGACAACACTAAATGGTGGAACAAAGAAGTGGATGATCCCATAAAAAAAATGTTCATATGATTATGATGTTACTTGGCAAGCGCGCTTTCTATTGCCTTCCTTGCTAGCCATATCAGCAAAAGATGCATTACCTCCATGTTCACTGTTAATACATATTTTTGTATTTTCAAACAATGTCACAATCAATTTAAAAGGCTGTTAAGGCTTATGGATTAAGACTCACTTCGAAGATCAAGGAAAGCAGCTTACAACAAAACCTTGCGGCTTAAAAAACCAAAGGCTCGAGCTCAAGAAGCAATGCTCTTATAAAAGACAAGCATCACACTTAAACTGATCTTATGCCTGCAATGCATCCTTCTCAACCTAGCCCAATGCAAGCAACCTATACCGATCATCACAAACTTTACTTTTTAACCATCAATCTTGCTAGTTTATTTTAACACATTAAGATACACACGTTCTACAAATCACACCACTAGTTATAGATATCACTATTTTTGCTTCTTTACACGGTCAGTTAGAAATTCAAATCATAACAACTTGGTAGCTAAATTAAATTTATATGAACTTTGCACAAATAATTTGCTCCTCAAACATAGAATCCCAAAAATAGTTGTAAGACATTGGTGTCCTCATATAGTTTTAAAAATCTCATCATTTTATAACTTTTATTCTATTGTTAATACCTTGTAGATTTTCTAATTTACGCCCTAGTTCTATCAAATTTTGGCATGTCATCGTCTCCAAGGTAACTCATAAACCATTTTAGAGCATCTCCAACCTTTCACCAATTTTTTCAACTAATTTGATTTCAAATTTGAATAAAAAAAACTTGACTTTATATGAACTACTCAAATCCTTTCATTAAAATCTTTTTAAAAACCTTCCTCTTATCCAAAATTCTCATTTTCATCAAATTTGATCACGAAAACCCATCTCCACTGCTTCATTTTTTTTCCTCATCAAATTCAAATTTACTTTATTGGTTCTCAATTTGATAAAAAAATATAACCCTCCCTTCATGAGATTTGATGAAATAATTAGAGATAATTTTTTAATACTTTTGAAGAAAAAAAACAAAAATAACTAAATGGGTATTCAACTAAGTCACAGTAACATCAAAATATCCATTCGTTTCTTACTTTCCGCAATTCCCAAACAATTGCTAAAGGTAATACATCCCAAACCACTGTAATTTTCTTTCTAATAGGAAAAACAAGCCACCACAAGAGTAATTGTTACAAACATAAACAAATTTCAATAAACAAAAAAAAATTACAGTCTCATATGAGTTACATGAGTACAAAACTCAATTACCCACACATCAGATTTCACACACTCCAGCCAAATTTCAAGTATATATATATATATATGAAGTCAAAACAACTACCAAACAAACATCAAAAACCTAAATTGATTCAAATCATATATTCCTGATTTTATAAACCAACCTAGTGAGTTCACAATGGTGAAAGGTACAATTTTGAAAAAGGGGATTTCCGTCTAGGGTTTCATAGAATGGAGATGGAGAAAGGGAGAGAAACAAGTTGCAGCGAGAGAGAGAGAGACATACGTTGAGGCGAAGTCAAGGGCACGTTATGTTCGCGGGATAGTCTTCGCCTATATATATATATATATGTGAAATCAAAACAACTACCAAACAAACATCAAAAACCTAAATCGATTCAAGTCATATTTTCCTAATTTTATAAACCAACCTAGTGAGTTCACAATGGTGAAAGGGGCAATTTCGAAAAAGGGGATTTCCATCTAGGGTTTCATAGAATGGAGATGGAGAAAGGAAGAGAAACAAGTTGCAGCGAGAGAGAGAGAGACATACCTTGAGGCGAAGTCAAGGGCACGTTATGTTCGCGGGATAGTCTTCGAGGGCGAAGAAGAGCTTCAAAGTCGTGTCTGAAGAAAGCTCCGGAGTTGTGTCTGAAGAAGGCGAAGAGGAGCTTCGGAGTCGTCTCTGAAAAGAGCTCCGGAGTCATGTCTGAAGAGGGCGAATAGGAGCTTCGGATTGGTCTGAAGAATAAGGGTTTTGGGAAAACAAAGTGAAAAGGGTTTGTGGAACATACAACAATCAGTGAACAAAATTGTAACCGGTTGAGAGGGTATTCAATATTTTCAATCAAATTATTTGATGGTTGAGATTAATTTATAAATATCTAATGGTTTAAAATAAATATGTACATGATGTGCACTATTTAATAAGGTGTACATCTTAGCAGCTCCCGTGTGTTATTATTATGCAATATGAGTACAGTTATCTATCTTCTATATTATATAAAACAAATGCTCAAATTGGTATTTTGAAGTCTATATTTTAAATTACACAAATATTTTGATCATTAATTTCAATTTTAACTAATTTATCTTTAATATTGTAAAAATAATAGCACTCCAATTACAAAACAATTAAAACTACTCAAATATTTTATTTTATTTTTTTCATTTTTATATAACTATAATTATCCCAACCTATTGGACTGAAGAAGCCCAATTCACAATCCCTCAAGCCCAAATTCCGAAATCGGGAGCGTGGGCCACGCATGTCAAGTCGCGTGGGGCCAACGGGGCAGAGATGAATGATATCCGATCCGACGACCTTTATATCATCGTCTCTGTCTCTGTCTCTGTCTCTTCTCTCTCTCTCTCGTTTCCAAAGCCTCCATCTTTGAAGCTCTTCACCCCCCAAAACACAGATCTCTCTCTCTTCATCCAAACCAACACTCACAATCTCTCCCTCAATCAAAAGGTTATTGTTTTGGAACAAATTCTAAATTCAAGAACAATCATATATATTTTAATCGCTTTTTCTAAACCTAACACGTAGTTTGATTGATCTTGCACGGTTCGTTTTACCTAATTCCAAGTTTTTTTATTCAAATTTCGATTATTATTGCAGAGACTTTTGATTCTGCAAAGCTTTCAAGTCTCCAAATGGCTATAGCTTCTGATCAGGCCAACTCCAGCATCTGCAGTCACTGGTAAGAGGGACTTACCTTGTAATTTGATCACTTTTTCAATTTATTCAAATCAAACACAACTTTTGATTTAATCATCAAATTGGCTTTCGTATTTTTAGTATTGTGTCTAAATTTGTCTCAGTTTTTACCTTTTGCTTGTATGATTATATGAATATCTTGATGAGAACTCCAATACCTTCTAATACAGGCAGACACTGTATATTCATTCACACACACACACACACACACACACACACACACACACACACATATGTATATATATATATGTTATATTTGTCAAAGTTTTGTACCTCAATATATTGAAAATTTGTGGGAGATATGCACTTGTTGGGTGTGTAGATCAATTCATTTGCCCTGTTATTTCGTAGTATTGTTTATAACCACGTGCCGGACACAACAAAGACCGACTTCTAGTTGGATGATTTATCTTCAACATAGTGCAGCACATGTCGGTTAAAAATGTGGACTATTGTTTGCTCTCTTAGCCTTGATTGGAGTTTACTTTGGCGTTCCCGGTGTTTTTATCTGTCCGTGCTGTTTTTGGTGTTTTAACGGTTAATATGAGCTGAACAGGTCCCTGATAAGCTGTTACAAATCAAGGGGTTTTCTTAATCTTAACATGTTCTAACGCTAATAGACTAATTAGGCAAAACTTTATCTTAAGCGGGACACATTCTTATTAAGATGCCTATTTTTGAGTTGTGGGAGGCCTTTTAGAATTACATTCCAAATCATTGAGACCTTTCAAAATATCTAATTTTTCTTATGGAAAATATTTCTAAAATTTTAGTCATGACATTTATCCAAACTCTTTTTAATTTTTGTCCGTTTCCGTTTCCGTTTCCTTTTCATTTTCTCTCTCTTTTTTTCCGTCTTCTTGTTAATGCTTCCTGTGTTCTGGAACTCAAATTATGTTAAGTTCATGAGGTTTTCACATTTCCTTCAAATTTTTTCCTTGTGGTGCATTTTCTCTATATTTTAGGAGGAAATCACTTTTTTGCTTTGCCATCGACCTCTTTCAAGCTGTTATTCAATTCATCAAACTGATGACTGAATGAATGACTTTGCATGATGACCATATAGTTTATGCCGGCAAAAACCCTCTTTTTATGTCTCTGGTCTTTCAAGTAATAAATGTGCATATTCCTTGGCATTGAAGGTGAAAAAATTGTGTATGTATGTTTTTTCTGGCTTTTGGAATGCATTCATGAGCATAGCCCTCAAATTGTGAAATGCATGTTGTACTATTTCTTATATTTTGTATTGCATAATGTGTTGTATCTTGTATTGTTAGTATGTTTTAACATCTTTGAAAATAGGCAGATTACGCAGTGAAGCATCAAGCAATATGGTAAAATTGAGATAAATTATAGATCAAAAAAACTAAAATAAATGTGTTCATTAATAGCCGATGCATAAGAAATAAAGAGTAATTATAACCGAGGTTAAATATATAGTATATAATAACAAATATGAAATTTTGTTCCATTAGTATGTTCCAAGACCTCAACTGGACTTGATAAATTTGATTGAAACTTCTAAAGTTGTAGATTAAATCAGCCTGCTACTACATGAAGATACAAATCACTGGTTATTAGTTACTACTTTTCAATTAGCACCTACTAATTGCTAATTATCATTATGTATGACTTTCGAGTGTTAATTTTCGTCAACAATTTTAAATCCCTTAGTGCCTTCAGTATTTTGTGATACACACAAACTCAGACATATATAATTTTGTTCCCTTTAATATAGTGGATATACATAAAAATTAAAGTGGCCACGTATCTTGTGTATCAAGTGTCATTCATATCAAATATCATATGGATCATTTGTATGTTGTATGGTGCATGTACATAGGTATTGACTTTCCTTTCAAATCCGTCACATCATATATATTGTATCATGAATCCAAGGATACTGACAACTAATTTTGAGTTGAAAAATCTATGTTTTAATGATTTCACAAGTCAAACATATAGGCCCAAACACTTTAATAGAGTTATATTTTTTTCAATTACATTATTACAACAACATTGGTTTCATTAGTTCTCAGTCTTGAAATCATTTTACCTTTAAGTTAATGTGACTAAATTTTATTACTGTAGAGAGTGTTTAGATATGATCTTTTATTTCATTTTGATCTCGTCCTTTTTTGGAAGTTTGGTCATATAGCTGGTTCTTGACCATCAGTTACATTTTTGAGTGACCAAAATTACTAATATTGTCCATACATTTTTACAAAAATCACTCTTTTGATATCAAACACTGTGGTCGTTTCCGAGTGTTCATGTTTTCTCACTAAAGTGATTGGTATGTTGGTGTCTCTTAAAAGTCTAATAAGTGCTCACTGCATTCTATTGTTAGGACTTTTGTAGCATATCTTTAATAGTCCAACCCAAAGTTTTGCTGCTGATTGATATTTTTATTTTTTTATATATATCCAGTGACAGAGCTATTCCTTCTTCAAATATTGATCTGCACTATGCTCATTGCTCCCGGAATCTAGAAAAATGTAAAGTTTGTGGTGATATGGTTGCAAGAAAATATGCTGAGGAACATTTCTTAACCACACATGCTCCGGTATGTGAGTTTATTTTAGAAAATGTTTACATAGTAAAATTATATAATGTATGTCTCCAAAAGGTCTGCCCCTTTTTTATCTTTAGATATTTATTTATTTGATATCTGTCGGTCCAAACACACACACACATGTAGGGCTGAAGGGGATTTTGCAACTGATTTGGAAGGATATTTTTATAGAACTATATTACATGGCCAGTAGTTGTGTTTGCCTTCCATTTTGAGTTGTTTGGAGTTTGCATTAAAGTATTGATAGTTTCACGATCTTTGTTACGTGCATCTCTACACATGTATAGATATATATGCATATATATCCATGCATGCAATCACATAAATATGGGGAAGAACCACTTTGTGAGGTGGGCTATGTTATTTCTAAAGGGACTACTCTGGGATATACAGGATGGTCAACTATGCACCTATGCAACTTTGGGGACACTATAATTTTTTTAACCCTTCTGTTTAATGCTTTGATAATGCAAGACCTTTTGTGTTTATTAGCAGGGATTGGATGCAGTGTTACTGTGTTTGGTTCCTAAATTCTGGATACAATTTTTAGAAAATTTTAAGAGTTTTTGTTTGGTTATCCAAAAAATCAAAAAAAAAATATCAGAATCCTATTTTTTGGATGCACTTGGAAAATAGAGAAATTTGACATGAAGTGATTAGATGGACATGAAGTGATTAGATGTAGATGTAGATATACACAAAGAATAACAGCAGTGATTGGTAGCTCCAAAAGTAGAGCTCTAAATAGAGCTCTACTGAGCTGGCAGCTCAAAAAAAAAAAAACTAAGGCCAAAACATCACATCATAGTGGGGCCCACCCTCGATTAGAGCTATTATAGCTCACAAATTAGAGCTCCAAAACATTTTTGTAAAATAAACATGGTACTACTTCTGATGTGACCTATGCTGTGCTGACATTTTTATTTTATTTTATTGTTGAATTTCAGAATTAGGTTGCCCAAAATCCTAGCTGGAGGCAGTTTTGAGCTCCATTTGCAAGATTCAAGAAAAAGAATACCAAACAATAGTCCATTTTCAAAAAACAATTTTCAAATCAAAATTTTGAAAAACAACTCAAAAAAGTGGAACCAAACACAGTTATTTTTTGTGGCAGTTTCCTCTAAAATATTTATGTGGGTAACTGTAATTTCTTGAATTGGTCTCTTTTTTTTCCAGAGCTCTTTTCTGATTGTCATCCTTTGATTAAAAATATTAAGGCTTCATTTTTCAGGCTTGGTCCTATCCCTTTAGATTGCTTTGCTTATACTAGTTTAGAAACCTCCATTCAAATAGTAAAAATCATAATTTTGCAAAATATAGAAGTTTTTGGCCTACCATTCATTTTTGATTTTTGGGCCATGTTCCTTGTCCGTTTAGTGCACTTTGTTTTTGATAATTTCATAGATCTAGCTGAAGTTCACTAATATATTTGAGTTTTTTTTGGCTTTGCTATCGTGATATTTGTTTTGAAATTCTTAACTCACACCAATTTGCATTGTCACACCTGCTTAATATGCCCTTGTTATGACTCATTATAATTCTCCCTGTCTCGCTTCCACTCTATTTTCTTTTGGTAGTTTTGTAGTCCTCATGAAATTTGCAATTTTTGCCTCATTTCTATATAATTTCGTGTTTCTTTGATGTTATGTTCAGCAAAATTTCATACATAAATTTAATATTCACCATGATCGGTATGGACACAATGCAATCATTACATTCCTGAACCCGTATTGCTATGTGATTTTCTTTGGGGGCGGCTATTTTACAAGTTCGAAGTTTGAAACAAGTTGGGACAAGAGAGAAGATGGTTTTTGTTTTTTTAATGGAAAAGAGAGCTTCATGTTTTTCAAAATTGTGTTTTTTTGACAATGGAAGAGCTTTTCCATTTCCGAACTACAAGAAAGAAAGAAAAGAGTGAGATTCACATTGAATATCAAATTAATGGAGACTATCACCTAGACTAAACTTTTTTTTACCAGAGTCCACAAAACATAGGCTGAAGTCTGTGATTTTAATTTGTGCTTTTTGATAATGGAAGAGCTTTATCATTTCTGAACTATGAGACAGAAAGACACAGGGTGAGATATACATTGAATATCAAATTAATGGAGATTATTGGAATACCTCAATTTTAACTGTGTTCTTGCTGTTGTTGCGCCTTTTGATCTTGAAGAGTGCTGCTAAGTACATGAGATCATCGCAATCTTTCGTCAAATTCAGAATGAAAGACCCAATTTCTAGTTTTTCCATTTAAAATATACTCTTGACATATTTATCAGGCTAGCAAAAACAGAACTCAATACGACAAGCATTTTCTAAACTAGGTAGACATATGTGAACTACAATATTCAAAATATTTACCTAAAACACTCTATTCCTCATCAAATCTATCTAGACACTGGTTACCACTAAGGTTTTTTTTAGCGTGGCAAATGTTTCCTTTTTATTAATGTTAATTGATCAGCAATTTTCAGCGAGGATGAACAAGTATAATTCCCACTGACAACTTCTTATTTGCAATTTATTGATTGAGTGTAGAGGGTTTAAAACTCAGTTTTCTCTTTCTTTCTGTGAACTATTTGCATTTGTGAAATATTTTGAAGCTACACGTTTATTGGACAATTTCCTGGAGTAGAAAACCCTAACGGCTTACTTGTGTTGGGTGATGAAAAGTTTGGGTCCAGGATAGCCTTTCTTCCTAGTAGTTCAATAAATAAATAAATAAATAAGGATAGCCTTTCTTCAGTTCAAGTTCTATAATGTTTTGGTCCTAGTATAATTGCTACGGCAGTGGCATACTCTAATTAAAATAAATAAACAATTGCTTGAGTTCGTGACTATTACTTTCAAGCAGGTATCCTGTTCGCTTTGCAGTGAGACAATGGAACGTGAGATTTTACCTGTGCATAAAGGTGAAAATTGCCCCCAAAGAATTGTGACATGCGAGTACTGTGAATTCCCTCTGCCTGCAATTCACCTATTTGAGCATCAGGTGGTTAACCCTTCACTTATTTGAAATTGGAAGTATAGCATTCAATATGTAGTGTATAATGTCAAGCGTTTGTAACTTCAGGAAGTATGTGGGAACCGAACAGAACTTTGTCATCTATGCAACAGATACATTAGACTGCGTGAAAAAATTGCCCATGAGAGCAGATGCAATGGTGTCCCAGATGTTACTGCTGAATCTTCCAGGTAAAAGGATTGTTGTTTATTGTGTTTGTACATTTCGTCTCTTTTTTATACTAGTTAATAATGAAGTTTTGTTGTAAACCAAATGAACTTGTCTTGTTATTGCCTACATAATTTTCAATGTATCAAGGCTTGTTATGTGAGAACCGTGGGATATTATCGCTCTGGAGAGGAAAAATGTTTTCTGCATTTTTTGGCATTTGGTACAGCAGAAAATGGAAGTCAATGCAAAACATTTCTATGATCAATGGGAAACAAGCTTATTTAGGTAGAAAACATTTTTCATTTTTAAAATGTAGAAAACGTTTTCCAAACTAAGGTGTTACCAACGCCACTACACTACCACCACTACCATCACGCCCACCACCACACCTCCATTGCCACTAAGGTTTTCCAAATGTTTCCCATATATTTTTTTAACACTTGGGCTTTAAAATGGGGGGTAAATTGTGAAATTGTCACGGAACTGAAAGGGAATCAGTATGAAAACCTAGTAACGACCAAAGTAACTTATAGAAACTAATGAAACTCACACAGGACTCCCAGTTTGATAATTATGTTCGAACTTGCATTTTTTTAACATTTAAGCTTAAAATTGGCATTCGAACGGCAAAATCGTGAAATTATAGGCTTGATTTTGTTTTTTTGTTGTTCCAAATTTCAGATGAAAAGCAAAATTTCTAGAACACACAACGGAATGTTTGGCAAAAGTAAATATAGAAAGTTACATCAAGTTTAAAATGCTATGTTATTGGTTTACGTGGGTTCTGGCTTTCACATAACAATCCTGTAACTATATGCACAAGAATCCGTTTATTATGTTCTGTTCTATTGAGACAATGTTCTTGTTTTACCATTTCAAATGTCTTGGGGTTTAATAAAACTATAGGATGCTTTGGTTTCCTATTATGATGTATATACATATATATATTTAAATTTATTAGTACTCCAAATTTTACTTTCTTTTTCCTGAGTGCTTTTTATTGTTGTTTATTTGGAATCTCTCAAGGGCCACAAGGGCAGCTGAAAGAGAGCGTGGTGCTCAAAGAAGGCCGCCACCACATGAGTTTTCAAGGAGACGCCTCCTTTTCACCATTGCAATAACAGGCATCGCTGTTCTGTTAGGTTCGTTGTTTTTCCAGAGGAAAACAGAGAATAATCATGTGCATTAGCTGCCGAGGGGAACGTATTGGCTTGCTGTTCTGGTATGTGCCCCATTGCTTATTTCGTCTACTGGGTTTTGTATCTGAGCACATATACTACTAAGACTTTTGAACTGCTAGGAATTGTGTCACTACTCGGATATGCATATCCATTCTGTGTAATGTGATGAGTTCCACCATTTAGTTTTAGTAAATATGTTTTTATGTAAAGTAACATGCATGAAAGTGATGACCAATTTACAGTTCAGGACAACACTGTGCCGTGTAATTCTTTGTTTTCCTTTCTGTAAAATGTAACTGGGAGTGGAGGTACACCATTTATTGATCGACTTCACTTGGCCCTATTTTCCAAAATCTGAAATCCAGGAATAATTTGCCAGAATAAATTTCTCTCTCATGGCACAAGCTGAAGCTTTTGCTATACTGCTCAACTGCACCCAGGTGATATGGCACATTTGGTAGCCGGATAAAGTGGGAGGCTTGGATTAGGAATCCGGGGCACTAATTTTATCCCACATTTGGTTGCTTAATTTGACGACAGAGAATAGTGTGGCCATATTGGACACTATATATATCTCACAAAAGAGGGAGATAATTCGATCCATAGAGGATAGGATTTTAGGAATATAGAAATTCTTCATAAAACTATATATATGTAGGGTTCTCACATGTGAGATGATCATAAATTAGAAAAATTGTTCTTATTTTGTTTGACAATTAAATGTGTGGCCTATGAAAAAAAAAAAAAAAAAACTGCTTAATTCTTGTTTATTTCAATAAATTGATAGGTAATTATTGTGACCTATTTTTGGTTCCGATCATGTTATTAATATGACATGATCTTGGGTCATGCGAAGTGGACTGCATTTGCTAATCTCTTCATGCTATTAATATGATATGCTCTTGGGTCATGCGAAGTGGACTGCATTTGCTAATCTCTGCAAACCCACTTGGTGACAGTGTTCTAACACGTTTTTGGATCCTCGTTTTGAAATAAACGACGTTGTTTTTCTTTGGGGGAAAGAAAAAAAAAAAAAAAGCAAAACAAAGAACCACGAACGACGACAACTTATGAATGCAGACGGAGCGACGACAAACAAAGACCGACTGTGCCTCCTCCTCCGTCCCCTTCTCCTTTCTTCATGCTCCTTCTTTCTCTCTCTCAACAAAGCCATATTCAATCTGCAATCGGATTTGCTTCTTTTTCCGGTGAGGTGACGATTCGATATTCATATTCTACTTCTCAATTTTTCTGAAAATTTTAGGATTTTTTTTAGGTTTGATTAAGGCTAATGCTTGAAATGAAAGAGGGGGTGAAATCTGGTGTGGGTTTGATGACCTCTTTCTTTCTTTCTATTTTTTATTTTTTATTTTTTTCAGATTGTGTGATTTTTTTTCAAATTGCTGATGTAGTTCTGTCCCATTACATTTTACATTTTCTGGAATGGAGCTTAATTGGAAAGCTGAATGTGAAGATGAACAGAGAAAAGATTAAAAGGGATCCATTTTCTAGAATGAGAAGATGGAATGTTTGAATAATTTAAAAATAAAAATAAAAATAAATAGCTGAATAATGTGTTGTTCCTGTACTCATTCCATGATTTCTATGTTTCTTTAGGATAAGCTCGAGAGATTCATTTTAGTTTGAATGCAGCGCCTTCTCCAGTCTTCTCTATCGGCTCATTTTCTTCTCGGTCTTCCTCTGTCTCCTCTTTTTCTTTTTTGCATTCAAGTGAAACGATGTTGTTTTGAGCTAATCCACGGAAATTGAAGAGTGTGGACTCTAGAGGATCCGAACATGTTCTACAGAATTGATAAGAACTGAATTCTACAACCACAATGTGATTAGCTCAAGTTAGATACTTCTCGTGATATTATTTGAGGTGTGTGTAAAGTGGTCCAAATGTCGATCATAAAAATATATATATATATATATAATGGCTTTATTAGGTGATAATGCTAGGCTAGCACTCTAAATGATGTACTGTTTATTTGTCAATACTTTGGATTGTGTTAGAACATTTTCACAGGAAAATAAAGAAGAAAGAAAGAAAGAAAGAAAAAAAAAGAGGGGGGGGGGGAGTGGAACATTTTCTTAGGAAAATAAAGAAGAAAGAAAAAAATGTATTTTTAAAATTTGTTAATTTTATAAGCACGAGTTGGAGTTGGTTTGATTAACTTAATACACTATAAAAATAAAATAAAAATCAATTAAATTGAATTCAACTCGAGTGAACAATCCAAATTTAAATATCTTTAAAAAAATTTAAACTAAATCTTAACATCTTACTTGAGTCGACTGGTTTGCTAAGTTAGCTTTATCAACTTTAATCCTAAATTAATTATACAATAAGGTTGTTCGATCCAATCATTCTTTGAATTATTATGCATAGATCATTTATGAATAAATTAAATTGATTTGTAAATTATAATCACAATTTTATCATATTTATTTTCAACAAAAAAATAAATACAAAGTATAATTTTTAAAAAAATTGCATTGATTTTTTTTAAAAAAAATATTATAAAATTAGATGGTTACAATTTTTAATTGGACAAATATAAAAAAAAAATGAAAAGTAGAAAAAATAATCACAAATCCATGAAAGTACAACACTGATTTGTACAATCAAGTACATAAATCATTTATACTTTTATGAATTTATAATTATTTTTTTTAACAACTTATTATTATTTTTTATATATTTCTTATTTTTAATTCAATTTGTGTTTTTAAAAATAAATGATCTACTTAATCGAACAGTTAGGGTTATTTTAAAAAATTGGTTAAAAGTTGAATTTTTAATTTTTCTTAATTTTTAAAAAAAAATATGTAAAACAATAAAAAGGGGATCAAAATATGCTAGGCTTTTAGCCATTAAAATCATATTGTAAGAGTTACTCTTATAGTTTTTTTTTTTTTTTAATAGGATGTTTGAATCAGTTTATGTGCAATTCTGAAGATCAATTTTTTTACCGTTCGCTTGCAGAGATCCTATTGAAAGTGAGAATAAATGTCTTTATTGGGAATAGTGATTATTGAATTTGGAGATGTAAGAAAAATCGAAAAAATTGACCAAATCGATTGAACCGAACAAAATCGACTATATTTAGTCTGTTTTTTAACAAAAATCGGTCTGTGCGGTTTTAAAATTTGATTTTTTTCAGTTTACGGTTCGATGTCGGTTTAAACACCTTGTATACCGATCTAAATCGAAGCCGACTGTTTCAACATATATTATATTTATAATACATATATATAATTTAATAATATTAATAAGTATAATAAATTATTAATCTTAATTAATTAATTTTATCATCTTTATAATCTAAGTTTCTAAACTCTTATTATATATAATCTTAACTCTAACTCAATATTTTTGAACTTTTTTTGTTTTTATTTTTATTAATTTAGGAATTGAAAAATATGTATTAAATGGATCAATTGGATATGTTTGAAATGGTAGACAAATAACTAATTTAATGTTTCTATATATATTAATGATTTATATTTAAAAGTGGTTTAAGTTTAAAAAATTCTAAACTGATTAAACTGCACTAAATCGAACCGTTTCAATCTATTCGGTTCGGAGGCGATTTGATGGGAAAAACGGTTTGTATCGGTACTCAAAATAATAAAATCAACATTACTGATTTGGTATAATTTTTTATCTAAATATCGACTGTACCGAATCGATTACATCTCTAATTGTACTGAGATCGAAGAAGAGCATACTCTCAAGTTGTGCCTACTAAGCGGTCTTAAATTAGAAAAATTATATCGTAATCCAAGAACACCATAGGAACCTGCCCTTAACAAATCAGAATTTATCGTGTCCTTCAATCACTTAACACAAAATTATAAATTTTACATTTTCAATAAATTACAACTTACTTAAAACACCACGTGACCGTATCCAAGAACCACCAAATAACTTCTCCTTAAATTATAAGTGGTAGTCTCCTTAAATTATAAGTAGTTAGTCTGAAATTAATTCTGATCCGCCATTTAATTGGCACTCAGTACTTTCTGAAAAAAGATTAAAAAAAAAAGATAAAGACATCTGCTCTTCTTTTTCCAATTTGATGATTATTATGATCCATCGAATTCAAATCTGGCATTACTGATTCAATCTCCCGAATTATGTTTTGTAAACCTAGCACCCAATTGTCAGGTATATAGTGTCCTCCATTGCATACCTAACTCTCTCTCTCTCTCTCTCTCTCTCTCGCTCTCTAAATCTCCTATTTCAGTAACCATCTCTCCCTACAATCGCCGACGGTAAAATATAGTGCAAATCACTGTCTCCTCCATGTGAGAAACTGATTATGAGAGACAGATAGAGGGGCTATTGCTGTGGCGGTGATGGTGGTGGTGCGATGGTGATTACAGTTGGCGAAGATATTTGATATTCCTGGTTGTGGCGAAGATGGGAGGTCGGCGTAAGTTTCGAATCCGAAACTGTATTCAGGGAGTCTGCTGTGGTGGAGAATACAAAAGAGGTAACCATTATTTATTCTTTCAATTTTTGTCTTTAGATGAATATTACAAATTACAATATGAATAATAAAAAACTATATAATTTTTTAGTATATTGCACCGATAATTCCTCTATTTTGTTATTTTGATTTCTATAATTTTAATTAGTTTATATTTGATTTTAAATTGTAGCCTAATCGATTATAATTGTTATTATTTTTTAATTAAAAAAAGATGGTATATATCATTTTTTAAATATAAAATTATAAACTTATTCAACTCAGTGAGTTAATCTAAATTAATTCAGTGATATTTTCTGTCAAAAACACTAAGAGCTTTATTAATTAGACTAAATTGACACAAAATTTAATAATAATAACTAAAATTAGAGATTTTTGGTGAAAAGCTCCACCTATTGGGCCTTTTTTATGTGAAGATCACGTAATAAAATATTGGTTCCAAAAATACCTCAAATAAAAAAATATAGTGAAAAGACTGAAATACTCTTTCATATAAATAGGCAAATATCAAACGATGGAACCGTTTATCTCCCTCACTTTGTTTCATCGCTTGAACTCGTTGCTCTGAAAACAAATAATAGAAGTACACAGTAACAGAGTAAAATTTTACTGTCATTGTATCAAAAAAACAAAAATAAAAACAAACAGAACACTTAACACCAGAGTAAAATTTTACTCTCATTTTATCAAACAAAATCGGAGCACATACTAAAGTAAAATTTTACTCTCATTCTGTCAAACAAAAATAAAGGATATACCAGAGAAAAAAATAAAGAAATAGAGAGATAGAGAGAGCACATATATTGCTTTAGATCTGGTTCAAACTAGAGTAAAATTTTGTTGTCTGAAAAACAGAGCATGATTAGGAGACAAAGTGAAAAAGAGGGAGAGTACAAATCTGAGATGATAGATCTCAAATCTAAGATTGTCGATCTCAGATCTGAGGTCTTAGACGCTAAGGATAACGATGGTGATTGCCTGTGGTACAGTGACATCGAATGGCGTTGGTGGTTGAGATGGTGGTGGTGAAGCGATAATGACGGTGGCGGTGGCGGTGACAAACAGCGTCAATGGTTGAGACGGTGTTGGTGGAAACAGTGGAGGTAATTGAAATTATGGTAGTCATGGTAATGGAGATGGTGATAGTGGTGGTGGGATTGAACCTCAAAAACATGATCACTTGAACGACTAACCAACCAAGTTCTTCCACTTTTAAAAGCATTTACTAATGTTGAATCCATCTCCGAACAAAGAAAAGTATTATATTTCTTAGCTTGTTCTCTCCTTCTTGACATCAAATCCATGATCTTCTACCTAATTGAATCAATCATCTTCGTAGTGGGCAAACGACGAGCTTGACGGATCCATGAATTTAAAGACTTTGTCACATTCGAGTGCATTTCACTATATTTTTGTCCTTTAAAATATGCATTAGTCCACTTGTCACTATCAAAGTAATATTTTACCGTCACTACAAGTCCAAAACACAATTTTACACAAGTATAGAATACCAGAGTAAAATTTTACTGTCATTCTAACACCAGAGTAAAATTTTACCTATCAAAAAAAAACAAAGCACATACCAAAATAAAATTTTACTCTCATTCTATCAAACAAAATCAGAGTACATACCAGAGTAAAATTTTACTCTCATTTTGTCAAATAAAAACAAAAATAAAGAGAGCACGTATAGTGTCTTAGATTTGGTTCAAACCAGATTAAAATTTTACTGTCTAAAAAACAAATCATGATTAGGAGACAGAGAAAAAAAAGGGAGAGAATATAGATCTGAGATAACAGATCTCAAATCAGAGGTCGTCAATCTTAGATTTGAGGTCTTGGACGCTAAAGATGACAATGGTGGTTGTCCGTGGTACAATGACATTGAATGGCGCTAGTGGTTGAGATGGTGGTGGTGAAACAGTAATGGCGGTGGCAGTGACAAATGACACTGATGGTTAAGATAGTGTTGGTGGAGATTAGAAAGAGATAGAGAAAAAAAGAGCTGAGAGAGAGATGACAAACAGATGGAGAGAAAGAGGAGAAAGAAAAAGAGTATGTGTGTGAAGGGATAAATTTGTCACATAAAATATAAATCTGAAAATTTTTGTCGTTCTTACAAGATTTTTTTATTTTGAAGGAGTTTAGGAGCCAAAAAATTATAGCTTGTCATTTTAAAGAAAAAGGGGCTCTATAAAGGAGTTATGGCCAAAAATCCCTTAAAATCAAGTCAATTAAAAATGTAAACACCAAAATGATATAAAGATCAAAATGTAAGGACTACTCTTATAATTTACCTTCAATTTTTTGGACACAATAATATGGTTTTGGGGAGTAATTATTTTAGCAAAAAAATCAAAAAGTCACTATAAGTTATCACATCACTCTCTCTATTTTTCTAAACATATTTTTGTAAAAAATCAAAAAGTTACTAAAATAGTCTGTTCTGAAATGAGGCTTGAATCTGGGACTTTTACTCTACGCTTCGTTTTTTTTTCTTTTTTTTGAACGTGAAAAAAAAGGTACTCATTGATAATATTAAGGATGTTCACCATTCGGTTGTGGTTGGAGAACTTTCAATCTGCCATCCGTTCATCGAATTGGCTGATTGAAAAAAAATCAATTTACATTCGTTTGCCACATTAGTGGATGTGGATTGAACGGATTAGCAGATAGATGTAAATCGGTTTGACGGTTTAAAATTTTATAAATTTTGAACATAATATAACTTATCAACATGTTTTTTGAATAACAATCCAATTAAACATAACCAAAAGATTATCAAGTAAATTATCAAATACTAATAATAAATACATATAAAAAAATAATGTATTATCAAAACTATTTCATTCCTTTTTTTATTATTATTTTTATTCAAAAACTATTTAATTTGATTTTTTTTAAGGATTATTTACCAATAAATCCTGCTTTACAAACTGTTATACCAAATAGTCCCACTTTTATTCTATTATACCAAATAGTCCTGCTAGTGGGTTGATTTGGTCATTTTTGTTTTTTTTTTTCCATTTTTTTAAACTGTGTGGATGAGAGTGCCCTTGGTTTAATGTGGGATTGTGTTTGCTGGATCAGTTCCTTTTTTGGAAGCATTGCTCATTCTATCACTGTGTGTGTGCGTGTAACAGTGGCTGCTGTGTGTGTGTATCTTTGTGTGTGTATGTGTATCATTGTGTGTGTGTGTATCATTGTGCTGTTGTGTGTGTTTGTGTATCATCGTATCCCAGCCTTTTCATCACCGAGTAAATCGCATCCAACTGTGCATCAAACATGGCGTAGTTCAGAGTATTCGATGTGAACCCGAAAAACGGGTATGGGCAGACCATGAAGGGCGTGTTTGTTTGGTGATGGAATTCAAGGATTGGGGCAAATATGACCTGGTCGAAAACCCGCCTGAATCGACCCGAATTGGGTGGCTCCGAGATTGATAATATACTTAGTGAATTAGGTGTGGAGACCTGAATACTGGATATTTCGGCAAGATTGACGGCGGCGTGGAGAGATTTCATGGCGGGGAGGAGGTGGGCGATGACGGTTTTGTCGGCGGTGGCAATGACTTCGTTCCCGACGGCGATGCGGTGGATTTTGGCGGTGGGGTAGAAAGGAGGATGTTGTTAGCCACACAGGACACGGCGGCGGAGAGTTTGGAGACGGCGGGGATGTCGGAGTTGGCGACGGTGACGGTGACGTAGATGTCGGAGTTGGCGAAGGCACGGAGGATGTCGGGGTTGGCATCGAAGATCTTTACTGTGTCAATGGTGGTTTGGTCTTTGATGAATGTGTGTGTGTCTGCCTGTGTGAACCCCCAAACACACCAACCCAGCCCAAAACAAAAAAACCCCTTACAGCGCGTTGTGTGTGCTGTGTGTGTGTATCAGTGTGTGTGTGTGTGTGAGTATGTGTGTTGAAGCCATCAGTGTGTGTGTGTTAAGTTATGTGGTGAGTTTAAGATTAAAGATCTAATTCATATTTGGATTGATACATGTGTATAATTCCTATTTACATGCCTTTTGAACCATGTTTGAGCAATTAATGAGTCTATTTTGAGCCTTCTACATGCTCCCCAAAAATTGAACTTTGTGTGAATTTTGAACTGCTCTCACAGGGGAATCGCCACACGTGCGGCCAGGCTTACAGCCGTACATGCGGAAAACAGGGAAAAATTTGGCTGTTGACACTGAAAAAAAGGCACGTGCGGGACCCTATTGCCGCACGTACGGGGCTCACAGCCGCACGTGCGGCCCATGCTGTAAAATTCTGTCTACTCTGTTTTATCTGTTTAACCCTCTGGGATGGCTAGAATTGGTATTTGAAGTTTTTTTACAACGCTTATTAATGTACTAGAAGTTATCAAATCAAATGTGAGTTTAAAAGAAAAGGAAGTTGACTAATTTGTGGGTTGTATGTGTGCCTAGGTCACATACCAGAAGGAATTGCTGCGCCATCAACGCACTGTGAGTAATAGTACAGAAATGTACATTTTATTTACCATTGATAATTATTGTCACTAACGCTCTATTCCTTGTAAGTGTTACATGAACATTTATAACGATTGGAAATCAATGTGAACTTATGAAAATGCTGAAAGATATGCGTACATCGGTACGACTTTGGAATCCTTTTGTTCTGTCAATAACAAATATTAACCCTATGTTATCTATCAGCATACTACGTTACTTCTTAAAGAATAAATAGAACTTATGTTCATCATTGAACAATGGTATATGTATGAATCCAAGATTATTCTGTTGTGTTACATATGGACCTGAGGTCGTTTAGAATCTACGACATGAATGCAAAGGTTTAACATCATTAAGTAACCCACGTTAGAATGTGAATTGTTCTGTCTTTGTTAAGCATGCTGTAATGACATGATATGGATGGTTTGGTCTTGCATTATGTGCTTAAGGAAGTGATACCAATTATATTTCTGTTTTTGAAAATTGATGTTATGAACCTTATTGATAGAAAAATATTGTGATTATAAACCCTGCCTACTGGGGAATTATGCCTTGAGTATTCTGCAGTGAACTTTTGTGGTCTCATCTCATACGACTTATGATCCTATGAAATAGATATATGGAATTGATATTTTATTTCTACACACCTGAAATAGACATTGAAACGACTAGTTGGAAAACACTATGAGATGTTTATTATGTAACTGTGATAAATATTGGATTCACCTGTGAATGGTTCGAACGGAGGAATTAATTGAACATCTATAACGGAATTGAACAAGGGTGTGAAACTGAGATTTCTAATCTGTTACATGGTGGAACAAGTTTGAGGGACCAAACTTATTTAAGAAGGGGAGAGTGTAATAACCCGACCCTCGTACATGTTTTCTGATATACTTTCAGTCCCTTTATTCTGCACATTTAAATGCTTATTGTGAAATTTCAAGAGAAATTAAGTTTAATTAAGTGAACCTTATGATTATAGATCCATATCTGTTTAATAAGAAAACATATCTGTCACAATTAAAATGTTTGGATCAAGAATTGAAAGCCTTAGGAGATCAATAATCCGAAATTAATCTTATATTTGAGATCAACATAATTTTTAGGTAATAATAAGTGTTTCTGTGAAATTCAATTTGGAATGATTAAATTGATTA